CCTCCTCCTCCTCCTCCTCCTCCTCCTCCTCCCGGGGCGATTCGCCCCGAGCGTCGCCCCCCCAGCGCTGGCCGGCGCGCCTGGGTTTGGCCTCCCCGCGGCCCAGTAGAGCCGCCGGGGGGCACTCCTGCGTGCAGCCGAGGCAGAGCGGAGGGTACCCTCCCTGAGATCCGACGTCGTGACTTTTTCAATGCGGGGCCCCCAGAAGTCTCGACCCCTTCCCCGGGGCCGGTTTCTCATCCTGAGTCGTTTCTGATGGTCCCGGGGCCCGGCGAGGGCCCCTCGAGGCCGAAAAATATGAAAAACCCTCGTCTTGTTTTTTTTCAATGCGTTGGATCTCTGGGCTTGTGCCCTGCCCATCGCGTCTCGTGCCCTGCTCGTGCCTGGAGCGCGGGAGGCCCTCGGGAGAGTCTCGCGTCCTCTCCTCTGCGGGCAGTCCCGACTCTGCACGCCGGCCCTGGCCACGCCCGTCTTGGGTCCAGGATCGTCGCTCTGCCCAGGGTGCGCCGACCTGGCGGCGGAGCCTCCTCCTCCTCCTCCTCCTCCTCCTCCTCCTCCTCCTCCTCCTCCCTCCTCCTCCTCCTCCTCCTCCTCCTCCTCCTCCTCCTCCTCCTCCTCCTCCTCCTCCTCCTCCTCCTCCTCCTCCTCCTCCTCCTCCTCCTCCTCCTCCATCCGAAGAGCCGTCGAGGCGCAGGCATGCAACTTCTGGAGGCCCGCGCAGATCTCTCGGGTCGGCGCCGGACGCTCCCTCCCAAGCACGCCCCCCGGCGCGCTCCGCGCGCCAGGGAAGGGCCCGGCGCCGACCCGAGAGATCCACGCGGACTTCCAGCAACCTCGCAAGCGGCCCCCCCCTCCTCCTCCTCCTCCTCCCTCCTCCCTCGTCCTCCCGGTCCCTCCTCCTCCTCCTCCTCCTCCTCCTCTCTCTCCTCCTCTTCCTCCTCCTCCTCCTCCTCCTCCTCCTCCTCCTCCTCCTCCTCCTCCTCCTCCTCCTCCTCCATCCACGCGGACTTCCGGCCACCTCTGCCCATGCCGCTGCCAGGGCCCCAGCCACCGGTCTCGCAGACCGGGGCTCTGCCGCAGCCGGCGGGAGAGGCCGGAGGACAGGGAACGCTCTTCGGCCCACGGTCGCAGTTGTTGCTCGAACGTGCCAGTGTCTGGGCTTCTCGAAGTTCGGGGGTGGACAGACCTCCTACCCTGACACGTCGATTGAGGAGTTGGCCGTTTTGGGGTTCGCGAGAGGGCGTCGCGGCCGTCACTTTTGCGGGTCCAGGTCCGTCGATTTCGGTCCCGGGCCGTTTTCACTAAGGGGAGGTCTACTAAAGGGAGGTTTGTCCACCGCCGAGAAGTCGACGTTTGCGTGGCCCCGACGTTCTGTAACTCCTCGGACAAGATGTGACTGATGACCGATCGTGCGTCGAGGATCGAGTACCGATCGAGGCGAGGATCGAGGACCGAAAATCGAGAGTCGAGGATGCAAGATGACCCAGGACCCATCGAGGATCGACGGTCGAACGCCGACCGAGCCGAGAGCCGAGGGTGAAGGACCAAGGACCGATGGAAGATCGAGGTTCGAGGTTCGAGGATCGATCGAGGGTGTAGGATCGAGGATCCAAAATCGATCGAGAGCCGATGGCGACGATCGATCCTGCCGTCCCGCGGCGTTGGCCCCGCCAGGCGAGCCTGGCCTGGAACCTCTTCCCGCTCCCCTTTGCGCCCCACGCCGAGCAGACGACGGCGACCTCCTGCTCGGTGCGGGACTGCCTCGACGGCCTGGAGTTCGCGCGCGACCTCAACTGGCTCGACTACCGCTCGTTCGACGTCGAGGCGTTTGCGCTCATGCGTCGCAAGTTCGACGCGTCCTGGATCCATCCCCCTCTGGCCTCCTCCACCCTCCTCCACCCTCCTCCACCCTCCCGATCCTCGTCGGCTCCTCCTCTCCTGCTCCTCCCTGCTCCTGCTCCTGCCGAAGACGGGAAGCTGGCACGGGCACGCTCTTTTAGGGGGGTCCGCGCGGGTTCCCCAGATCGGCGCGGGGCTGCCCCGGCGAGGGGGGGAACCTAGCTCCGACCGAGGAGATCCTCGGGGAAGCGCAGGCACAGCTTCCGGCGCGCGTGGACTCGCGGATCGGCGCGGGGCTGCCCAGGCGAGAGGGGGAACCTAGCTCCGACCGAGGAGATCCTCGGGGAAGCGCAGGCACAGCTTCAGGCGCGCGTGGACTCCCGGATCGGCGCGGGGCTGCCCCGGCGAGGGGGGAAACCTGGCTCCGACCGAGGAGATCCTCGGGGAAGCGCAGGCACAGCTTCCGGCGCGCGTGGACTCGCGGATCGGCGCGGGGCTGCCCCGGCGAGGGGGGGAACCTAGCTCCCACCGAGGAGATCCTCCGGGGAAGCGCAGGCACAGCTTCCGGCGCGCGTGGACTCGCGCATCGGCCCCGCTGCCCGTGCCGACTCGCCGCGCGCCGCCTCCAGAGCGGGCGGCTGCGGCCTCCTGTTTTATCGGGGGGCCTCTGCCCCCGATCCGCGGATCCGGCGCCCATAAGTCGGCCACGAGTTCCCCAAGATCACGTCTCCCCCGTCCCTTTGTTTTTTTTTTTTTTTTTCTTTCTTTTTTTTTTTTTTTCTTTTTTTCCCCTCCTCCTTCCCTCCTCTCCTCTTTTCCTCCTCCTCCTCCCCTCCCTCCTCCTTCCTCCCTCTCCTCCCTCCCTCCTCTCCTCCTCCTCCCTGCCTCCTCCTCTCCTCCTCATCCTCCTCCCTCCTCCCCTCCTCTTCCTCCTCCTCCTCGTCCTCCTCCTCCTCCTCCTGCTCCTCCTCCTCCCCCTCCTCCTCCTCCTCCTCCTCCTCCTCCTCCTCCTCCTCCTCCTCCCAGGATCATCCCTGGAGAGATGCTGGCGCTGGGCGACCCCAGCCTGACGGCACGGAACCCGGCGTACCCGGACCTGCTGAAGCCCGCGAACGGCCCGAAGAGGGGCCCGCCGGAGGAGGCGCCCAGCGAGGAGTCGGAGGTGTCCATGCTGAACAAGGACACGTTCGTGTCCCTGCTGCAGCGGCTCGGGGTGGGCTCCGTGGTGCGGCTCAACCGCCTCCACGAGGTCGGGGACGCGGCAAACGTCTACGATAGCATCTTCCAGAGTGCCGGCGTCGAGGTCGTGGCGTTCGAGTTCAACGACGGAGAGTCCCCTCCCAGAGGCCTGGTCAAAGCGTTCGTCAACGATGCCAGGAGGCGTCGGGCCCTGACAGGGAAGCCGGTGCTGGCTCTGCACTGCAAGGCAGGGCTGGGCCACCCCCTCTATCCTGCTCCTGCCTCCCTGCTCCATCCGCATCGCTGATCCTCTTCCTCCTCCTCTTCCCTCCTCCCTCCTCTTCCTTCCTCTTCCCTCCTCCCTCCTCCTCCTTCCTCTTCCCTCTTCCCTCCTCTTCCTCCCTCCTCCCTCCTCCCTCCCTCCTCCCCCCTCCCTCCTCCTCCCCTTCGTCCTCCTCCGTGTCCCTCCTCCCCGTCCCCCCTCGCTCCTCGTCCTCCGCTGCAAGGCAGGGCTGGGCCGGACTGGCGTCGTCGCCGGCGCGTACGCCGCCGAGCTGCACCGGGTGAGCGGCAAGGCCCGGGGGTGGCAGCTGCGGGGGCCCCTCGCCCGCCTCCCCCCCCCCCCAGGCCTGCGCAGGGGCCTCTCCGCGGGTGGTCCCTTCGTCTCGGCGGTTCGGAGATGGGGTCCCGAGGGACTGTGTGCTGTCGGGTACGGCGTCGGGAAGGCCGTCGGGTACGGCGTCGGGAAGGCCGTCGGGTACGGCGTCGGGAAGGCCGTCGGGCTTGGCGTTGGGCTGGCCGTCGGGTCGGCCGTCGGGTACGGCGTCGGGAAGGCTGTCGGGTACGGTGTCGGGAAAGCCGTCGGGTATGGTGTCGGGAAAGCTGTCGGGTACGGCGTCGGGTCGGCCGTCGGGCCGGGTGTCCCGAGGGCGAGGTGCCCCAATAGGGGGCCACATGCGAACCCTACCCCTGCCCCCCACGATTTCTGAGGGGAGGGTGGGGTCCACTTCGCTCGGGAGCTCCCGAACGGATTGAACCTCCCCCCTCCCCCTCAGAAATCGTGGGGGGTAGGGGTAGGGTTCGCATGTGGCCCCCTACCCAAGCAAGCAGTGTGGATCCACCCTTGGGCCCCTTCCTATCCTTGGGACCCCACCCCTCGGGACCCCGTCTTTGAACCACCGGTCCACTGCACGCCAGAGTGACCCTTCGCCGGAGTGACCTTCAGTGCGAGCCCGGTGGGCCCCCACGACCGCTGCGCACGGTGCGAGAGCAGCAGCCTGTGCGCTTGGGCTTGGCTCTCCCCAGACATCCGACGTCTCGATTTTTTCGAGACACGGGCACCCGACCTCCCGACCACTTCCCCAGGGCCGGCTGTTCATCCCGAGTCGTGTTTTGACGGTCCCGAGGCCCAGCGAGGGCCCCGAGAGGCCGAACGTTGTGAAAAACTTCCGCCTCGATGTTTTCGAGACGCCCGATGTCTGGGCCGCGCGCCCCGAGGTCCCTCGTGCGTGTGACCGGCCCCTCGGGACCTCCGGCCTCCGCCCCAGAACGCCGACGACGTGGCTCGCTGAGGCCCATGCTGGCGCCCTCCCCCCGCCGTAGGGTGCCTCGCTCAACGTGGCGGACAGAGCCAGACATCGGGCGTCTCGAAAAAATCGAGGCGGAAGTTTTTCACAACTTTCGGCCTCTCGGGGCCCTCGCTGGGCCGGGACCGTCAAAACACGACTCGGGATGAGAAGCCGGCCCTGGGGAAGTGGTCGGGAGGTCGGGTGCCCGTGTCTCGAAAAAATCGAGACGTCGGATGTCTGGGGAGCGTGGAGCTCAAACAAATCGCTGAGGCCCGGGCGGTGCCGCCTTTTTTTTCGCACCGGGCTCTTCACACCCGGCATCTTTGCGCAGTCTCGGGCCCGGGTGCGCCTACCGGGTGACGGGCGTCGCCTTGCAGGAGGGGGACGGCGATGAGGAGGAGGAAGGTGGAGGCAGGAAGATGATGCGGAGGGGGGGAAGGAGAAAGGAGGAAGGAGAAGGAAGGAGGGGGAGGAAGAGGAGAACGAGGAGGAGGAGGAGGAGGATGAGGAGCAGGAGGAGGAGGAGGAGGAGGAGGAGGAGCAGGAGCAGGAGGAGCATGAGGAGCAGGAGGTGGAGCATAAGCAGGACGTGCAGGCGGTAGCGGCTGCAGACAAGCACATGGAAAGTGTCGCACGCGCGTCAGAAGAAATTTAGACTCCAGTTCCTTGCTGGGTTCGTGGATCCCTCTTGTCGTGGATCGGCGCTGAGGGCCCACATGGCGGCGCCTCTGACGCCGCCCCTGGCGCGTTCCCTGCACCAGGGAGGGCCGTCCAGCGCTGATACAAGAAATCCGCGCGGAGCTCCGAAAATTTACGTTTATGCAATTTATTGATCGCTTCGCTCATTCCGCCGGCCCTGGAGCCCTCTTTGGGGCCTCTTGGGGGCCTCTTGGGGACCTCTTGGGAGTCTCTTGGGGCTCCTTGGCGGCGTCTTGGGGGCCCCCAGGGCCTCTTGGGGGGCTCTTGGGGGCCTCTTGGGGCGGGAGGGGGGGTAGTCGATTGCGGCTCCCCACTCGGAGTTCACGATCCTCGTGAGGGGTGTCGAAAAATTGCCCGGTCCGGCATCTCTGACCTGGACCTGCCGGGACCTTGCCAGGACCTTGCCGGGACCTTGCCGGGACCTTTCCGGGACCTTGCCGGGACCTTGCCAGGACCTTGCCGGGGTACTTTTCGCCCGGAGACCCCCAGGGGCCGCCCCGCGCGCGCGAATTAGAATATTGTTAACCAGTTACCGGAGATCTTAACACGCCTCTGGCCCGTTGGGCCGGCGAATTGTCTCTTCGATGTCGGTCAACCCGTCCCCAGATTTCCGATGATTGGATTGTTCACCCCAGGCGCTTTTCCTCAGTTTTCGGTCTCTGGGGATCCTCATCGGAGTATCAAGAATGGATCTGGGGAGAAGAAACTGGTCCGAGGGAAGGGGTCGAGGCCCCCGGGGCCGCACACTGGAAAGAGCCCTGAGAGCTGACGCCAAGAACAGGCCACGGCATCGTGCAAAAAATCACAGCCAGAGACCCGAAACCCCGATCCGAGCCAGATCGAGCCGGAGCGAGCCGTGCTCGCGCGAAGAGGGCTGCTGGTTCCCTCGCCTGCGGCCCCGTCTCGGCCCGAGGCGCGCGAAGCCGCGTGCCCCGCGCGCACGCGCTGGGCGCACGCTGTGGCTCCCCCCCTCCGAGGGGCCCATCCCTCCGCGCAGGGTGAGGTTACGCGTGAAGCATTCTCCGCCCCTCAGTTGGGTCCACCTGGGGCTCCGCGGACGCGTGCAAACGCCCGCCTCGCGCGCGCGCCAGGAGCACGTTGGGCCCACGCCCCCTCCGCGCGGGCATTTTTCACGTGCGAGCGGATTCGGCACCCGCAGGTTGGGTCCCTCGCTTGCGGCCCCCTCGTGGCCCGAAGCTTGTGAACGCACGTGCGTCGCGCGCACGCGCCAGGCGCATGCTGCCCCCCCCCCCCCTCCCGTTGCCCCCCCCCGCCCCCCCGCCTTCCGCACGCGCAGGTTTACGTGTGAAGAGTTCGCCACTCCCAGGCAGGGAGCCTGATGCTGTGATCACTTCTGCTGGCACGTTGGTTGGCAGTTGGAGCGAAGTCGGGAGGGCGCCCAGTCGACTGCACCCTTGCGCGTCACCACCCGAGAGGCCCACGGGCGCGAGCCCACACCTGGCGACTAAGATGCACGGGCATCCAAGCAGGTGGGCGAGCGCGGCAGTACGTCCGCCCGTGGCCGCCTGGCCGCGGGGGGGGGGGGCCCGCGCCACCGGCCGGCGGCGAGCGATTGGGGGGGGGGAGGAGGAGGAGGAGGAGGAGGAGGAGGAGGAGGAGGAGGAGGAGGAGGAGGAGGAGGAGGAGGAGGATGAGGAGGTGTGAGGAGGAGGAGGGGGCTGTAACGAGTGGGTCCGCAAAGGACCAGGTGCACGGACCCGCTCTCCCCTCCTCGGTCGCCCGTGCGGCGCCCTGGGCCGTGCAGGCGTTGCGCTCGTGGATCCCGTTGGGCCGGCACGAGCTATCAGTGCCGCTTTTCTGGCTTGGGGCCGCCACTCTCTATCAAGGGCGGCGCGTGAGGCGTGCTGCCTCGACCAGGCGGTAGAAACCACAGGTGCGGCGCCCACGGGCCTGAAGTGTGAACGGCCACACCTTATCCCCCTTATGTCAGTTCTGTTGTCAGACATGATGTGCGTGCAGTCGTTCACACCTGGCCGTTTCCGCGATGAGTACGGCTTGCCGCTGTGTTTCGGAAATTGCGAAACACTGCTGGATCTGCTGGAAATACTTGGGCTGGTACTATGGGGCCCAAATGTATACACCACCACCACCTCCCTCATCTCCTTGCCCCCCAGGAAAGAGGAGAGGAAGACGATGGTGGGCGGGGGAGGAGACATGGTGGTGGTGGTGGTGGTGGTGGTGTATATTGCTGGGGCCCGCGGGTACCGACGCGCGATGGCGCCGAACCCCCACCTGGCCACAGCTGTCACCACCTCCGACCCGCGTGGCCGCTGCCGCCCCCTGCTTCTCCCGCTCCCTCTGGCGCCGCGCCTCGAGCTCCGCCCGAGAAGTGCGACACCGGCCTCGATTCTATAGGCTCCTCCTCCCCCTCGGCGGCGGCGGCCGAGCTGCCGAGAGGGAGGAGAACAGCTGTCACAGGCACGCCCTGCTCCTGCCCTGCCCGCCCGCACGCCCGCCGGAGGATGCGAGGATGCGCCCTCCTGGGATGCAGGGGCTGCGGCAGGCTGCTTGCGGTGGAGCTCCGCCCCCGCCGCCTCGAGCGCGATGCGCTGCTCCTCGACCCTGGCCGTGCTCAGATTCCTCTCGAGGCGGGCCACCGCCGGGACCGCCTGGTCACGGCGGCTGCTGGCGCCTCGTGGAGCTCCGTCGGCGCGCCGGAGTGCCTGCAGGATTAGGCCAGATGCCATACGTGCCTCAGCTTTCGACTGCGCCACCCGAGCTTCCAGATTCTTATTCAGCTGCGGACCCCTCGCTGCCGCCGGTGCCTGCCCCAAGTGAGTGACGGCGCCATCCTGGCTCTCGTTCTCAAGAGGTGAACTCTGCGGCGTCGACTTGGCGCTATGACTGGCAGCGCTTGCATCGTCGTTAAAGGTGCCATCTCGCTTCAAGATCCCTTTCGTCGGCGATGGCACATACAATGTAACTTTACGTCCACATCTCTGACACTTCAGCTTCCTCTGCGAGAGCTTATCATTGCGTTCAGACTGCCCACACTCTCTGCACGTACTGGTCGAGTAGACATGGCTAACCGAGCATGATATCACCACTATGTCTGGAAACGGATGGGTGCCGCTCAAAGGAAGTGGTGTGTCTCAAGCATCCCGTGGAGGTACCGCGGATGGGTTGGCGAGCTGGCCAAAATGGTGCTCGAGCCCGAGTTGATTGAGAGGAGGAGTGGGAGGAGGCGGAGGAGGAGGAGGAGGAGGAGGAGGAGGAGGAGGAGGAGGAGGAGGAGGAGGAGGAGGAGGAGGAGGAGGAGGAGGAGGAGGGAGGAGGAGGAGGAGGAGGAGGAGGAGGAGGAGGAGGAGGAGAAGGAGGAGGAGGAAGAGTCTCCGAGAGGCGTTCCACGGCTGGGCGCGGATGTCGAGGCCGGGCTCCATCCAGACCCACATGCAGGAGAGGTACCTCAGGGCGATAGGCGGCTCGAGCTCCCAGGGCTCGTGTTCTCCGTGCACGCAGTCGTGAGGGCGTGGGGCAGCCGGCGCCGCCTCCTCCTCCTCCTCCGCCTCCTCCTCCTCCTCCTCCTCCTCCTCCTCCTCCTCCTCCTCCTCCTCCTCCTCCCCCTCCTCTTTCTCCTCCTCTGCCTCCTCCCCAGTCCCCCTCGGGTCATGACAAAAGTCACGATGGGCGTTTTTTGCTGGTTTTCGGCCTCTGGCGCCCTTGCCGGGCCCCAGGGACATCAGAAAACGACTCAGGATGAGACGCTGGTCCCGAGGAAGGTGTCCAGACCTTTGGGGGCCCACGCTATGAGTAAATCATGACGTCGAGGGTCTGGGCCCTCGGCTCCCGCAAGAGTGCCCCTTCGCCGGCCCCACCGGGGTCCCCGGATCGCGGAACGCCGTGCGACAGCAGCGGCGTGCGCGCCAGGGTGTGCGCCGCCGCGCCCCCCGAGCGCCGCGCAGGGTCGGTCGCTCTTGCCGGGGGGTCACTCTTGCGTGCAGCCGATTCTCTTGCGGAGGAGGAGGAGGAGGAGGAGGAGGAGGAGGAGGAGGAGGAGGAGGAGGAGGAGGAGGAGGGAGGAGGAGGAGGAGGAGGAGGAGGAGGAGGAGGAGGAGGAGGAGGAGGAGGAGGAGGAGGAGGAGGAGGAGGTGTGAGGCGTTCCAGACAGGGGCTCTGCCCTCGTCGAGAGGTTGGACATCTCTTCCTCGGGCGGAGGGCGGGGGAAGGCCCGCGGCAGGCGGCGGAAGCAAGACGAGGGCAGCTCCACTGGCGGGAGGCGGCGGAAGCGAGGGCTGAGCAGCATCCCCAAATGCCAACATGTTTGGGCTTGGGAGCCCGCCATGCATCGCCATCAGGCCCGAGAGGAGCGGGCCCTGCAGTGTTTTTTTCCGTTCTTGGCCTCCCAGGCCACTGCTGGGGCCCCAGGACTGGCAGAGCAAGACTCGGAATGAAAAGCTCGTCTGGGGAAACATCCCCAGATCCAGGCCCCTTTTTCCTCAGGATCCGTTGGCTTCGTGCGTCTCCTCCTTTTCCTCCTCGTGCTGATACATACCCCACCCTTCGGGTGATAAGGAGGTTGGGGGGGGGAGGAACCAACGTCTCACTCGATCGGTCTCACTATCGATCTCACCATCGATCTCACTATCGGTGTCGCTCGATCGATCTCACTCGATCGATCTCACAATCGATCTCACTCGGTCTATTTCATTCGATCGATCTCACAATCGATCTGACTATCGATCTCACAATCGATTTCACTATCGATCTCACAATCGATTTCTCATTCGGTCCCACTATCGATATCACAATCGAGCTCACAATCAACGTCATCATCATCATCCTCATCATCATCATCATCATCATCAACATCAACATCACCGCCATCAATGTCATCAACATCATCACCATCATCATCATCATCAGGACACGATCATCATCATCACCTCAACACCATCATCATCAACATCATCATCATCACCATCATCATCATCATCATCATCATTATCGTAACACCATCATCGTCACCATCATCATCAACATCATCATCATCGGGACACAATCATCATCCCCGGAACACCATAATCATCATCATCTCATCATCATCATGAAAAACATCATCAACATCATCATCACTGGGACACCATCATCATTATCAGCAACATCATCATCAACATCATCATCACCTCATCACCATCATGAACATCATCATCATCATCACCATCATCATCATCGGGACACCAGCATCATCAACATCATCGACATCATCATCATCATCATCATCATCATCATCATCGGGACACCATCATCGGCATCATCGGAACACCACCATAATTATCATCCTCATCATCAACATTATCATCATCATCATCTTCATCATCGGGACACCATCATTGTCATTATTATCATCCTTACCATCATCATCATCGGGACAGTCCCATTAACATTACCATCATCATCAACAGCATCATCATCATTCTCATCATCATCATCGGAAACCATCATCATTATCATCTTCATCATCATCTCATCATCTTCCCATCATCATCATCAGCATCATCAGGATCATCATCAACATCATCATCACCATCATCGGGACACCATCATCATCAGCAACATCATCATCATCAACATCATCATCAACGGAACACCATCATCATCGCCACCATCACCATAATCATCATCAACATCGTTAACATCATCATCATCATCATCATTATCATCATCGCCATCATCATCATCATCATCATCATCATCATCATCATCATCATCGGGACACCACCATCATCACCACCATCACATCACCACCATCATCGTCATCATCATCATCAACATCATCGACATCATCATCATCATCATCATCATCATCATCATCATCATCATCATCATCATCATCATCATCTCATCATCATCATCATCATCATCATCATCATCATCATCATCATCATCATCGGGACACCGACGGGACACCGGCGGGACCGGCGGGACACCGCGGGCCACCGGCCCCGGGAAGGGCCTCAGCCACAGCGGGACACCGGCGGGACACCGGCGGGACACCGCGGGCCACCAGTTGCCGGAAAGGTGTCATTTGGTCCGGCCGCGCCTCAGCCGGAGGAGACTTTCTTCTCGCCTGCCCACGCAGCTTCGCCTCGCCCGCACGCACGGCACGCACGAACACGAAACCGAAACCGATTTCCCGGTAGGGGGGCTCTCCGTTCCACTTCGATCTCCCCCCCTCACCTCCGATTACTACGACTGCTGCTACTACAAGTATGTTACCACTACTGTTTCTCCTCTATCGGCGTGCGGATTTCACGTCGATTTGCAGGCCTGGAGGGCTTTGCGGTTAACGACGAGGTTTGAGCGAGCATTTGCTTGCTTGCTTCGGCGCCTTCAGGCCGCGGCATTCTGCTCACATCTCGGCCTTGACCCTCTACTTGGAATAGGGCCTGCTTCGTCAGTTCCCTTAGGTGCGCTCCCAATGACACAACTTAGGCTCGTTCACGCCATCTCTTCGGACGGTTTCTGCTTCCGGACCCTCGAGTCAATCTTTTTGTCTCTGCGAGCCACATGTCCACAGTCAGCGTAACTGGAGCCCATGGTCGGCCAGACTGGAGGCCGCAGAACCGAGGATGCCACAGTCGGCCTAACCCGGATGAGGCGGCGCGCTGAGCAGCCTCGCCCGGTGCAGTGGCCATTGAGGAGGAAGAGTAGCAGCAGTGAGGATGCTGATGATGCTGCTGATGATGATGACGACGATCATCATGATCATGATGACGACGATGATGATGATGATGATGATGATGATGATGATGATGATGATGGTGATGATGATGCTGATGACAACGATGATGGCGATGATGGCGATGATGATGCTGCTGATGATGATGATGATGCTGGTGGTGGTGGTGATGGTGGTGAAGGTGACCATGATGATGGCAATTAGGACGATGCTGACAATGATACCGATACACATGATGATGGCGATGATGATGGTGATGGTGATGGTGGCGATGCTGATGATGATGGTGATGATGATGATGACGAAGGTGATGAAGATGAAAATGACGATGATGATGCTGCTGATGATGATGATGGTGATGGTGGTGGTGGTCGTGGTGATGGTGATGATGATGATGATGATGATGATGATGCTGTTGTTTATGATGATGATGATGATGATGATGATGATGATGATGATGATGATGATGCTGGTGTTGTTGGTCGTGGTGGTGATTGTTATGATGATGGTGATGGTGATAGTTGTGGTGGTGGTAGCGGTGAGGGAGGAGGACCAGAGTGGTGGTGGTGAGGATGAGGAGATGGAGAAGAGACCAGAGTAAAGCACGCGTCAGTGATGTTGTAATACACCCTCCCTTCCTTAGCCCCTGCTCAAAGCCAACACATGCTCACTACAGGAAGCACCCGCTGGAAAGATGAGGGACCTCTTGACCTTTCACAGGTTGTGGACCTGTGATGGCTGGCATGGTGGTATCCTCTGAAGAGGGAGCAGTGGCGGCCGACACATTTACCGTCGGAGCTCCGCGGAGACGTTTACACCAAGCCACTGCGCGAATGTGCGGTCGTCCATGGCTCAATGGGCTTCTTGGGCAACGCTGCTGGTAATGTCGTTTCGCTCCCCGCGACGTCCGACGCGGACGCCGTTTTGGACAGAGCTGCCGACGCCTCCGCTGGGCCGCAAGACACTCGACACGTAGAGCCGGTGCCGGGCACAGCTACCGATGCTACACAGTGTAGTTCCAAGCAGAGGGGCAACCGTCGGGACGGGCCTCTACACGTCAACGCCGTCCGCTGAACAACGCTTGTTCTGCAGCTTGTAGCGTCGAGGGTTTTGGTCAGGACTGTTCGAAACAGATTGAAATTATAGACCATATGGAGACCGCACTATATCGTGCAGGAGGCAGGGGTGCGAACGTCAGAAGTGTGTCATGAAAATTGATATGTGCTAATTTTTCTTGTGCAGACGCAGCGGCCGCTGGGCGATTCTATGACGGAGTTGGTTTCGTTGCTGCCACTTTTGCAGTGGCCTTCTAGTTCCGAACGAATGACGGACAGGCTCGCCTCTCTGCGCTGGCGGTTGCTTGGGGGAGTGCTCTATCCTGGGCGCGTGCGTGCCGCATTCTGGACATGATGTCGACGACCAGCGCGAACTAATCGATCTCTTGACTGTTGCGTGGCCAAATACGAGGCCACCATGCGTGCACCATGGCGTTGGGTGGTTTCGACGCGACGCTCTTCTGCCAGCGACAGGGGGGGTCGACATTTTGAGCCAGTTTGCATTTGTATGAATGCCAATGGTGTCCAAATGAGAAAGAGTTCGACAGGGACTTTCTCATTAAGGCATGCCAGGCGACGGGCGCCGCGATTGCCAATGCATTTCTCGCACAGGGGGGGAACACATAGGTGGCGTATTATGGCCCCCGTGGCGATCTCCAGCCCGAAGCACCTGCATCAGGCTTTTCACACTTGAACACTGCGTTGTGGGCGCCGAACTTTTTCAGCATATCGCGTCTTTTTATTCAAGTTTGGTCTTCAGCCCCCTAGAACAAACGGCAGAGCATGCAAAGTGCGGGAACCGGGGGCGATGGGTGCGCAATGACCGTGCTCTGGCGGAGAAATACGGCGACGCATTCTGCGGGGCAGCGTGCGCGGAAATGAACACCACACGACTTGGATGGACACGCTGTTCTCGTCAACGTCTCGACGCTAAACGCTTCAGGTGGGGCAGGAAGGCACAAATACCAACTGCGCCAGCCATGGAAACCACAGAACACATCGGACCTATTAGCTGGGCGAGATGCGGCGCGCTGAGCAGGACAAAAATTGGAAGAAAACAAAATGTGACAAATGGTCCGCAACGCAAGCAAGAAGGATGGACGAACACTGTTGGAATAACCGTTACAGAACGCACCATGTTATGTTGTTCGGCAGCTCCGAAAAGGTGCCACCAACCGGCCGAATCAAATCAAATATCCTGAGTGTACTTTTGTGGGCAACAACATGCGCGGGGACGTACCGGTGTATTATATCGAGCACTCGCAGTGGAATACTGCGAATCCATATGGTGGTCCTGCATCCTAAACCAAGCTGGAAACTATATGCCTGTTTAAACATCACCGCCCCCACGGGGAGAATTCATCCACTGGCGTTTTGGGAACATTCTCAGTGGGGGAAGCGGCAGGCGCTGAGGCAGTAACTGCATGATGGGGAAGCCTTGGGGCAGTTGCTCAGTGCATGCTAAGAGTGTTGGGGCCAAAACGGCCGACCAAGAGATTGTAATACCGCTTGTGCCGCATTTCTCTACAAAAGGGGGTTGCGAGTTTGTCAGAAAGTTCTAGACGCTTCGCTTAACCCCACCAGCACATCCAGCAACGATGCCCAGACGAATTGCCCTGATCAGGGATGTGGAGGCGGAACATGCAGTGGAACAAAGGGCTGAAAAATAGGTCACACCCCAAGACGAGGAGGATGGAGGAGGAATCGGAGGAGCGGGGGGGGGAGGGGTAGGGAGAGGATAAGGGGAAGGAGGGGGGAGAAAGGAGGAGGAGGAGTAAACGGATGAGGAACACAAGGAGGAGGAAGGCGAGCGCTGGGTGCCTCAGGGGGTCCTCTTGGGGGTCTCTTGGAAACGTTTTGGGGGCATCGTAGGGGCCTCTTGAGGGCCTCCTGGGGCCCTGGGAGGCCAACGTGTGGCCCGCACCTTGGTGCAATCAGTGATTTTGGCCTTTTCGCCGAGGCCTCTTGGGGCGTCTTGGGTGCCTCTGGGGGCGGGGGCTCTTGGAGCCTCTCGGGGGTCTCCTGGGCGTCTTTCGGGGGCATCTTCGGGGCCACTTGGGACCTCCCGGGCGCTCTCGGGGCTGCCATGGGGCATCGTTGGAAGCCTCTGGCCTTGGGGGCCAGCCATCTTGGAGGATATCCATCAAAGGATGGGGAGCTCCTTCGTTGCCCCCCAGGATGCCAACATGTTGCCAACGCCTTTGTAACATATCTAGTATTTGCGTTTTCGCAGAGGCTTTTGAGGGCGAGTTGGGTGCCTTTTTTGGGGGGGGGCTGTTGGGGCCTCTTGGGGGTCTCTTGGGAGCCACTTGGGGCGTCATGGGCCTCTTGGGGGTACTGGGGGCCTCTTGGGGGCATCTTGGGGGCCTCTTGTTGGCCTCGCCTCGTGGACACTTCTCGGGGCCATCTTGGGGCACCCTCTGGGAGCCTCGGGGCCATCTTGGGGCCATCTTGGATGAGATTGATCAAAGGACGGGCTGCGCTAACTTATGCCTTCCCCCCAGGAGGCCAACGTGTGGCCCGCGCCTGAGTGCAATCAGTGATGTAGTTTTCTCGCCGAGGCCATGTGGGCGTTCCAGCGACCCGTGTCCCCCCCCCTATCCAGGTCCAAGGGAAAAAGCGGTCGGAGGGGTAACCCCTTCCCGAATGGGAAGAAGAGGGGTTGGAAGACGAAACTCCCTAAATTGCGCGCGCCCCGAAGGGCTGGCGGGATTGCAGGCAGGTGGCCTTGCTGCCCGTAGGGTGCAACGTAGCGGCGTCGAGGGCCCCAAAGGGACTTCAAATGGGGGGGCGCCGAGGGGTGAATGCTAAACGCGCAATTTGGCTTCAAGCTTGGCCGAAACACCACCCAAACCATTTCCATTGTGCGCAGAATGGTTGGCGCAGTTTGCGCGGGCTCTTCGCTTGGGTTTATCTGTGCGTTTCTTGATTTGACACATGCGCTCGGCCGCGCGAATCACGATGCACTCATGGAGGTGCTTCGCCGATATGAAATCCCTGACGGGGTGGCTCAAATTATTGTCGGTCAATATATATATATATATATGTATATATGTGTGTGTATATGTATATATATATATATATATATATATATATGTATGTATATATATATGCACACATATGAACACCGTTTTTTTACCTGAAGCATAAGTCTCGGGCTCTTCCAAGAGGTGCCACACAGCGGGAACTGCGCAAGGCTGCCCCCCTTCCGCCGTGCTTATTCAGCTCTGTGCAAGTTGCCATGTTTCACGGCGTTGGCAAGATGCTGGAAACGGCAAGCGTGGGCGACCAAGAACCACCTTATCTTGTGAGCACAAGTTTGCGTGCGCTGACGACACCGTGCTTGCCAACGACGCAGAAGCAAACTGCATCTACTTCTGGACATGGCCATCAAAGAAGAACCACTATACGGACTTGGGCTGAACTGGAACATAACATTTGCGTTTCGCATCATGCGCGGTGGCGTTATCTTCGCTCCGTAGGGGCCCTGGTGAAGACGGCGGATCAAACTATGTACTTGGGGGGTCATATGGCAGCAGTGGGGGCAGCGCGGCCCGCAGTCTCGCGACGGATCGGCGATGCAAAGGGGCATTTTTACAGCAATGCAGCGTCGCTGGCCGCGCGCCGATATTTCCTGACAGAGAGAAATAGAGCTGTGCGACGCGATTGTCCCCCAAAAGCCGATGTGCATATTGACTCTTTTTTTTTTTTCCTCTCTCTCTCTCTGGATGTTACAGGCGGACAGCCGCCGTGTCGGCGGCTTGCATGCCCAGTGTCTTCGTGCATTTTCGCATGGCGGGCGTCGTGGCCCCCGCCCCCCCCCCCCCCTGACGCAACGCCCCTCCCCCCCAGTGCGCTCCGGGCGCTGCCGCCGTGCGCAGGCGTCCGCGTAGGAATCCGCCTAGGAGTCTTGTCC